ATAATATTATACAGGTCACTATCCAATGATTGTAACAATACATGTACATGTACATACAGATGTACCAAGTACTGTATACAATAATAATAATAGTCCATGTACAAATACACGCACATGAATGTGAATATACTAAATCGGCATTACACAATGTTGCATGTACTCCAACCAATAGCTTCCTCTCCAAGTCAATATAACAATAACAATATCAAGAATAACGACTTCACCAATTTTTGTACATGTAAATAAATTTTAACAAATATTATTTATTTACTACACGATTAGCTTTTATACTGTAAATGCACATACACTTTCTTCTTTTGCTTTAATTTTAAAAAATACATGTATACACATTTTCAAAATAATCGTAAGGTTTCTTCTCAATCTTTTCCGAGCAGGGTCTCATGGTCTTACCTTGGGGCGGGTCAGGCTCCATGGGTTCTGTCCTGTACTCCAAGTCATTGTACGAGTTAGGGGGGAGGGGGATAGGAGGACGTGGGGACCTGGTCGAGGTTGCAGGAGACGTGGACGGGACCTTTTTCTTTGTGTGTCTTCGCTCAGAGATGCCACTTCCACTGGAGGAAGCACTACTGGACTTGTTACCCATTTATAACTGATGGAGAAAAAAAGAGAGAGAAAGTATGAGATTGGAGGACCATTTGTAACCTAATAGTGTGATTTTATTGCACTTTTTAGTGTCATGATAATCGCACAAAATAATAATAATTTGTACATCATTAAAATACGATAAATAGCGATAGCACGTCCAGATTGTCTCATAGCAAGGCTACAAGGGTTGACGACTCACCTAGACTAGCATAATACCGGTACAAGAGTGAGAACAAGGAGATAGGAACAACAAGACACGAGCAAAACAGCAAGGGAACTTCTATGATTATGCTTCAAGCCGACCGGATTCTCTATGCACGAACTTTATGCAGAAAAAGCAACTGATCACGTGACCACAAGACCCAACCCACCACAAGTGGCCATTGTTGTCACATGATTGTACACCCACGCACCAGCCCCGCCTTTCTTTCACACTAAAATCCATTTTCTCTAATTTTTCTTGCTTTGCATAAACTCCTGCCTGCTTTCCAGGCTGCCAAGTTAAGCTACCTTGAAAATTTATAAAAATCCTTAGTTTTATATCGACTAAGAGAGCCTGAGAAAGGGCAGACATTTTACACTGGCAATCCCTGAATGCCAATACTACTATAGCATAGCGCTGCATTGTTTGCATTTTTATAATTAGCCACACCTTGGATATTTTTATTGTGTAACAACACGGGACTGTGATCATGTACAAATAGTGGCAAAAAGTTCCCAGCCAGTCGTCCCACGACTTTACAGCCTATAAAAAGATCCCGGAGCTTTCCCTGCGTTAAAAAAACTAGGACCTTGTGCTATCCCTCCATTGTTCGAAGAGTTCTTTAATATTATAACCGTAAGTGAGTGCAGCGAAGCAAGGGATGAGATCATGCATGGTGATAGAGAGAGGCGCTCACACTCCCACGTTCCTTTATTATGTGAAATATGCCTTCTGTATCTTTGCCTGTCACCTTCTCACTTCGCATTTATGTTTGTACAACACGCAAGCGTAGAACTTCTTGTAGAGATAAAGCCATTTTGAGATAATTATGAATTGTTATGTAACAAAGTTAGAGAATAAAGATAAAATGCACTTGTTAGACATCTTTTCTTACACAATAGGCAAGAAAGTTTCACAATAAAGTGCAGCTGCAGTGATGATTGGAATTTCACTATAAATACTTTTCCGCTCTAAAATACTTTCATATTGCCTTGTCGAGTACTCCTTTGCTTCATGTTCCAGCTGCCATAGTAGATTTCTTTTGTATACACGCCTATATCTGTTATATTTTCATGGCAGCTGGCATGAATACAGCATGTTTGTAAATAGGACAGTCTTTTTGCAGTGATTCCATCCTTCCTTATTATAGATGTTTCAATCAATGTGTTTAGTAGCTGCATAGCTCTGCATTAAACAGCAGCACTTGAGAGTTTTCGTTTCTTTCTCCTCTTTCCCTCTCTCTTTTTCTCTCCCTCTCTCTCTCTCTCTCTCCCTCTCTCTCTCTCCCTCTCTCCCTCTCTCTCTCTCTCTCTCTCTCTCCCTCTCTCTCTCTCTCTCTCCCTCTCTCTCTTTCTCTCTCTCCCTCTCTCTCTCTCTTTCTCTCTCTCTCCAGAGGTAGATCATGGCTTCCAGCCCAGTGAGTGTTGGCGAAGATGACGAACCATTGATTGGAGGAGCGAGAAAAAGAGGCAAAGTTCGGAAGGAGAGTGAGCACAAACGTCGCCTTATGATGAACCAGTATTTTGACGAGCTGGTCATTCTCCTCTCCATGGTAACCGAGACCGTTTCCTCTCGTAAAATGGACAAAGTCACGACACTACACGAAGCTGTTAGTTTATTTAAACTATACTATGACTTGGACCAAAGCCAGGGCCCAACTTCAAAAGCTAACGAACAGCTCCATCAAACGTATCGACCAGAGTACCTCCAATTTGGCGATGCTGCCTCGTTTATTCTCGACTCACTTGGCGCCTTTTTAATGGTTTTATCAGAAACAGGGCGGATCCTATACAGTACTGACCTCATCACTTCTCTGACTGGTTACCTACCATGTAGAGTTGTGGGTCAAACCATTTACGATTGTCTCCATACAGACGATCATTTCATCATTAAGGATCTCTATCGGGTATCGGGTGAGGAGGGAGTGGCCTGGAATAGAAAGGACTCGCCCATTATATGTTACCCTCCAAAGAGTCTCCGGTGTCGATTTAAGATATTCTCAAACGACAACTCAATGTCGGGATCTAGCAGATCATTCTCTTGCTTGTCATATTTGAGACAATGGAAGGAAGTTCCAGCTGATAATACCAGGAGCCCAATGGGTAAGTAAGAAAAGTATGAGCATACCTTTTCTTTCCTCTTCTCTCTCTCTCTCCCCCTCCCCCCCCCTCTCTCTCTCTCTCTCTCCTCTCTCCCTCTCTCTCTCCCCCTCTCTCTCTCTCCCTCTCTCTCTCCCCCCCTCTCTCTCTTTCCTCTCTCCCTCTCCCTCTCTCTCCCCCTCTCTTTCTCACTCTCTCTAAATTGTATAAACTGGTCATGCATGAAGTATTACCATTTGAAGAGTTAATGTGTGACAGTGCTAATAGCATCCATGTACATATACATGTATGACGCGTCTACATGTAAATTAATGCTGACTAAGATGACATTCATTCTTGTTGAATGTTCAGCTCGTGTTACAATTAAAGTACAATTTAAAGCTAGATGTTTGGTGATACTCCCCCCCCCTCACTCTCTCTCTTTTTCATTTATTGCAACACTTTAGGTGATTCCTGTAGCTCAAGGGACGACACTGGACTAATGACACCTGACACTCCGGTCTGCTGCCTGCTCCTCATAGCTAAACTGGACGAGAACCTCTCGATAGTTGATGAGCCATTCATTAGTAATGGATCCATAGAGTTCTCTTTTGACATACGAGTCAGTAGAGAAGGGAAGATACTGGACATGAGCAAGCAGGCTAGTCTAATTCTTGGATACACTTCAAATGAGCTTGTTGGGTCTCTCTTCTTTGACTACGTCGATCCATTTCATCTCGAAAAAGTCTCGGAGTCGATACTCGAGTTTTTAAAGAAAGGACTCGGAGTCTCTCAACCTTATAGACTCATATCTAAAAGCCTCAGGTCGGTGTGGGTGGTATCTAAAGGATTCCTCTCGTATAATCCTTGGAATCACAAACCAGATCATATTCTACTACAGTGTAAGGTCCTTGGATGTGACGAGATACTCCCAGAGAGTCGGTTTAGTCATGATAGTCGATACTTGCCTGATCTTAAAGGAAACGAGTTTTACAGACCCGGCCCCGTGACTCCTGCTCAACCAGTTCCTGAACCAAGACCAGTTAGAAGACAGCAGCAGCAGCAGCCACCTGTTGCTCTACCACCTAAACCACCTCCTTCTCTCCCTCCCCTTCCTCCTGTGTCTCTCGCTCCTGTCCAACCTTTGACCAGCCCAGCCAATCAGCAGAGACACGAGGAGAGAAGAGGAGGAGGAGAGAGAGAGAGGTCTCTTTTGGATGAGGTGAAGAGAGAGTTGGAGAGGAAGAACCAAGAATTGTTCGAGATGCAGCAAAAGGTGCTAGCTCAGCAGCAGCTTATAGAGCAAGAGAGACATCAGTTCTATCAAGTCACAAACCAAGTCATGAATTTCATCGGATCTCAGCAACAGAACATTGGGACTAACACAGACCCATTGAGCGGGATGGATATACATCCGAGTATGGCCATGATGATCCGTAACTCGTCAGTACAAACCCCACCCCCTCCTCTCGGCCAGGGGAAAACCCCCAACTTTCAGTTATCGTTGCAACAGCAACAGCAACAATCGTTTAACTCGTCTCTATCAATGCCTACACCCACCACTCCTAATTCTGCTGCCAGTGAGGGTGGGATGATGTCATCAGGCCAACTGACCAATCAAATGATGGGTGGTATTCCTCCCCCAGGTCACATGAGCACTAGCACGAGTCACATGACTCAAATGACCAATCAGATGAGTCCGATGATGCCACCCCCACTCCCTCCATCAACTCACATGGCTAGTGGAGGATATCCAAATAAGGATATGTCGTACAATAATCACATGACTTCTGGTCAGCCGCCTGCCCAAATGGACATCCCGTTCCCTGGTATGCTAAATCAAACATCGTCTGCTAGTTCACTATATGCGTCACGCGAAACGTCAGCTGCATATCCACCAAATCAAGAGAGCATCCCTCCAAACGATAACTACTTACCGTCTTACCTTCCCTCAAGTTTATGTGAAATGACTGATCCTATTTCTGCTCCTCCTCCCTCGTTCTCTTTTGCTTCTACTACTCCTCCCTCTTCCTCTCTCTCTAATCCAGCCGATCAGCAGCAAAGGCTCCTGCTTGATCATCTACAGCAGTTGTATCGCTCTTACAATGGGACTAGTTGAATTAAATTAATTCCTGTCTTTATGTACATGTACATGTATTTATTATATTGTCGTGTTTCCCACTTAAAATTTAGTATTTAATGTAATATAATAGTACTACAGACAGATTAATGTGTCGAAATGATTTAATTATAAAAATAACAAAAGTCTAGCTTTGATGACCATTAGCCCTGCCCACTTAGTAAACATGGCTATCCTTTTATCTGGAGGAGATAGTTGTTTTCTATTCACTATAATCCTCCTCTTTCTACCTCTTCCTTCTCAAGGAGCTCCAAAAGTAGGAGGGAGTCCCCAATGTGCCCTGTATGAGGGATTCACCGACAGCAGGTGCTTGTCTAGCTTCAATATTGACTCCTCTCTAACTGAGAGTAAGACTGCTTGGGTGGTCGAGTTCTATTCAAGCTGGTGCGGGCATTGTCACCACTTTTCACCTACCTGGAAGAAAGTGGCGAGCAGGATAAAAGGTAAAAGGAATGTCGATTGATTCACATTGTTTGTTGTTGTTTATGTTATTAGAGCCATTATTTAGAACAAACCGTATCAGAAGATACAGTATATGTGTGTGTATTATAATTATCTTGCTCTCTCCATTTTATTACGATTAGGATGGTCTAGCGTTGTGAGGATGGGTCAAATTGATTGTACTCATTCAGACAATAGAGCGATCTGTGGTCTGTATCACATCCAGGCCTTTCCAACGATAAAAGTGAGAGAGAGAGAGGGGGGAAGGAGGAGAGAGAGGGGGAGGGTAATAACTAATGAGAATGGAATAGTAACACATTGTCACTGCAGACTTTTTCATGTAATTATTTACTATCAATTGTTGTGACTGATTTGTATGTCCATGATCGTAATCAATTGTGTCTAGCTATTCAGTTCAATGACCAAGAACCCACACTCGGAGGGTATCAAGACATTTCTAGGTAAGAGAAAGAGAGGGGGGGTTTAGCACATTGATTTTGTAAATGAAAGAGTTAGAGTGACATTATGTTCATGCCAAAATAGGAAGAAGATCAGAAGAGTCACTACTGGAGGCTATCATCAGACTTGTTGAGTCTGAATCACTTGTTAAATGTCTGAAGCCATTAGAAACAAAGTAAGAGAGAGAGAAAGAGAGAGAGGGGAGAGAGAGAGAGAGAGAGAGGGGAGGGAGGGAGAGGGGAGAGAGAGAGAGGGAGAGAGAGGGGGGGAGAGAGAGGAAGAGGGAGGGAAGAATAGCAATGAAAGATGCAAGGACATTTACACAATGTTAACAGACTACCAAGCACTGATCCCATCAATGTTCTTGTCTTTGAAGAAAAGAAATCACTCCTTGGTTCAGAGGTACAGCAAGACATAAACATAATACTGTGCTGCAGTAATTCAATGAATTTTCAACCCATTAGATTATCATGGACTTTTTATTGGAGAATGTTAAAATACGTCGTGTACTACCAGATAATGTAAGGATTATATACCATAATAGTATTATTTATTTTATTATTAATTCTATGTACAGACAGCTCTGTCTAGTCAGTACTCAATACTTCAATTGCCATCACTTGTCATACTACCATATTTACCTAACCAGCAACACCATACCTTTATACCAAAGTAAGTTACTATAAAACCTGTCAAACCGGTTTATCCTGTTTGACTGGTATAGGAGAGAGGGAGACGAAGGCCAAGATGAAGCCGTGGCTTCCGTGAGAGAGTTCTTTGAGGAGAAAATTACGGAGGAAGTCTTGAATAGAAGGAGAGGGAGTTTAAAAGAGAGGAATATTCCTATTGATAAAAATGAAAAGCCAATTGAAGCAAGTCTAACAGTTAATAGGTAGGCAGCTGCTAATTAAATATGCGTTCATGCGTGTGTCCATTTAGGGTAACAATGACCGACATTTTAAGCACGATATCTTATTGCTTGAGATATGAGGTTACTTTGAAGAAGATCATAAGTGGAGAAGACTTTTATACACTGCATCAGTTTATATATCACCTGGAAAAGGTTAATATGACTACTGCAAGTACATGTACCATCAAATGTTTTGAAGAAAGGGCTACAAAATAGTAATTTTTATTGCTTTTTCTGATGCATATACATGTACTTATTTTGCATAGAAAGTTTGGGCTGATTTCGATCAAAGTTGGATTTTTTATAAATTCTCCAAAGTTGAGCCAAAGTCCCTAAAAAAAAATGTTTATTTAAGGGCTCAGTTCCCTCCTACACTGTACTATAGTACATGGTTGTTGGCCGAATTTTGCCAAAAATGGAAAGTTGAAAATCCTCCATTTTTATAATTTTTCCTGATGCATATACATGTACTTATGTTGCATAGAAAGTTTGAGCTAATTCCAATCAAAATTGGATTTTTTAGGAATTTTTAAAGTTGCTCTAAAATCCAAATGGCCAATAAGCTAATAACTCCTTTACCAGCTGGAGGCCATAGATATTTTAACACCATAAAAATGAGGACTTTGTACTCACTGAATTACTTCATTTACCACATATGAGTTAATTATTCGCACTTCAATTATTCAGCGTATTATTACCATTATTGTTCCTTTTAATACTGGATTGTCCAGTCGACTAACAGTGCATGTGTTAAGAGCAGTCCCTATTCACATCATTGATTGATTGGTTCTCTATTCACAACATTAATTGATGTAAATTGGGCTAATCAATGAAGTAACTATTGCATATATTACCACTTTTATAATTGCATGCGTATTTGTGCATGTGTGTGTGTGTGTTTGTGTGTGTGTGTGTGTGTGTGATGGATTATACTGGCTCTGATTAACATGTGCATCTGTAGTGAGGCAACTTTTAAAAATCATAAAAAATCTAAATTTGATTGGAATCAGCTCAAATTTTCTACACAGCATAAGAACATGTATATGTATCAGAAAATATTATAAAATTAAAGACTTCTCTACTTTTTATTTTTGGCGAAATTTGGCCCATTACCCTTGTACTATAGTACAGGGACTTTGGCCCGATTTTAGAGTAACTTTAAAAATTCGTAAAAAAATCTAAATTTGATCGGAATTAGCTCAAACTTGCTACATAACATAACAACATGTATATGTATCAGAAAATATTATTAAAATGGAGAAATCTCTCCTAGTGATTTTTGGTGAAATTTGGCTTGAGACCCTGTACTATAGTACAGGGACTTTGGCCTGATTTTTGAGTAACTTTAAAAATTCGTAAAAAATCCAAATTTGATCGGAATTTGTTCAAACTTGCTACACAACATAAGAACATGTATATGTATCAGAAAATATTATTAAAATGGAGAAGTCTCTCCTAGTGATTTTTGGTGAAATTTGGCTTGAGACCCTGTACTATATAGTACAGGGACTTTGGCTCAATTTTGGAGCAAATTAAAAAATTTGTAAAAAAATCCAAATTTGATCGGAATCAGCTCAAACTTTCTACGCTACATAAGAACATGTATATGTATCAGAAAACACTATAAAATTAGAGACATCTCTATTTTGATTTTTGACAAAACTTGACCAAAGTCTCTGTACTATTGTACAGGGCCCTTGGCTGGATTTTGAAAATCCAATTTTGATTTGTTTTTCATGGTATAAGTGTCTTTACAGGTATTGCATTTGTTGTCTGGTGAATCAAGTGATCTTGACTCAATAAAAGCTGATCTAAAATCACTATACACTAAACTATCAGCCAAATATAGCACTGGGTTCATGTCCTCGACCGACTGGCAAATACTAATACGACAAAAAGTAAACCAAATTTATTCAAACCCCGCCTTTAATCCGTCTCCATAGTTACACAATAATACCCTCCCACTCGAGCCGGAGTGGAAGGCGTGTCGTGGAAGTAGAAGTGAGTTTAGGGGGTTTCCCTGTGGACTATGGACACTCCTTCACACAGCAACTGTTGTGAGTTTAGACTTGAGAGAAGGAGAGAAAGGAAGAGTAGTCCACCATAGAATACAAGAAAATTTAAAGAGACAGCCTAAAAATAGTAACGATAATGACAACAACAAAGAAAATACAAACAATAACAATAGTGACAACAATAAAGGAGGAGGAGCTGCTGTAGTTAATGATGTTATTAGTTTCGATGGCTCGGTTGCTAGTAGCAGAGAAGTTCTCTACTCATTCTCTTATTTCATTACAAACTTCTTCTCGTGTCAATATTGCCGGGAACATTTCTATGCAAGATTCAAGTCAGACCTCCTATCATTTCCGCTTAGTTACGATGGTGATGCTGTTATGTGGGCGTGGGCTATACACAATGATGTTAATTGGCGTCTCCGAGGTGATGACGTAGTGACCGACCCCGCCCACCCCAAGTCCTTATTTCCCTCGTACGAAATATGTCCTTATTGCTACAAGAAACTCAAACAAAGTGATGCTCTGCCCACATGGGATAACATCGCACCTCCTGTTTTAGAAGGGATAGCAAAAGGGCGGAGTCCAGATGTGGAAACTCCCCCTTCTCCCTCTCAGGTTATTTACGAGTGGAACCAAACGGCCGTTTTTATCTACCTGTGTCATTTCTATGGGCGCGGAAAATTTGACCACACCCCTCACCACGTCTTGGTGAGGGCAGGATGGCCTAGGAAGTACCCAACATACGCTAGCGATCATTATGGGTCACACCTACACGGGGCCACGCCTCTTTCCAGTCTGACCCTGTTAGTGTATCTACTGGTTGCAGCTGTGCTGTTAGCATACATGTTGAATTTTAAATTGAAACGGACACGATTCAAAGCGCAGTAGATTTTATTTATTATTATTAATATTATTTTCATGTTCTGTAAATCTCTTTATTATTAAAATAATTTTTTAAATGAGTAGTGTCATCCTATTATTCCAGCTGCACTATATCCCTCACTTTTTTGTCATCTAAATGAAAACACTAGATTCAGGAAACTGCCATTATCAGTCCTTAGAGCAGATAGTTTTGTTACAAATCCAATATAAAATTTTTATAAATTATTCTTTTAAAAATGCAGCACTAAATACTAAAAATGCAGCACAGCTCATTTATCAGCCTGTACTAAGAGCCTAAGCAACTGTTCAAGTATAGGGGCAGCTCCATGTTGTGGCCTGTTGTGTTACAACGTTGATGGAACTATCAGGATGAACACAATCAGCTACTGAGAGATGTGATAGCTCCAGGGAACCAAAGTGCAGGACGAGTGAATAAGACACCTTTGAGTCAGTGCCCACCTGGTATCGGCTGTTTTGGAGATAGCCCCAGACTCCAGGTAGCAGTACAGGTAATACAAATTGAGGGTCAGTGAGAGGGTCAAGTTTTGGGTCAAATGTTAGCGATTTTTCTGACACGTTAGCTTTCTGACCAGACAGTGCCATCACCATGTGCCATGAGGACATGAAGTAGCCATAATGGCTGGTCCCCCATGGCATACCATCTGCATGATATCCCAGACCACCCATGATACCAACTACATTCCATTGGTCATGAAGTACAGAACGATAATGTTCCATTGCCTTTATTCCCACTTGCAAAGCCTGGTTGACATTCTGAATGGGATGAAAAGACAAAGTAATATTTACTGTATGTTTATTACTCCATGCAGTTACAAATATGAATTAAACTATGCAGCATGCTTAATACAAGTATTAATTTATGCAATGTACCTCTCCAAGGTGCATGTTAATGGTGCCCCAGTTAGGATTGCCCATCATCCACACAGCATTGTCTTGAGAAGGACCTGGGTAAGAATGTCGACCTACAGAGAGGAGCAATGAAAAGTATGCAGTAACGTCATCTCTGAAGACAGTAGGTATTACCAATAGCAAGAAAATTTTTACTACATGATTATACCTGTTAACACTAGCATCCCATATGGTGTATCATTTATTTCCAGTTCTGCTTTCATGTGTAGCTTGAGACGTGTCTCATTCTGAACCAATGTACCTAGTCCAAGGGAATAGGCCAACACCTATTTATCACATAAAATAATTTTATATAAAAAGTTCTACAAAATAGAAATGCGACACACAGGACTAGAACAAACAGGAAAAAGGATTTGTACATGAGCATCTAATTATATGAGGACACATTTAGTTCACTGCAAAACACAAACCTGAGAATAAAAAGTATCAGTCATAATGGCTCCCAGTGGGTCTGTGTCAGCTTCATCTATCACATCAGTCTCAGTTTGTAGGGTGTATGCATTGTAGTATCTTGCTGTCTCATTCCACAGGAGTCTGTCCAGTGCCTGTTGTCCAGTAATGAAGGCCTTCTGGCATGTCTCAGCAAACTCTACATCATCTACATATTACAAATGTGAGTAATAATATGCTAGTATCCTCATATTTTAACAATTTTAGTAAATAAATTTGACAGTATAGTACTCAGAACGGTACAATTCATTTATAGTTGAGACAAAAGTGCTTATACCAACAATAAAAAATGTTATAAGGCTGTTTATCTTTTCTTCATAACGTTTTCTAATTTAAGTTGAATGTGGCAAAAGCAAGTGTACTTAAATAGCAAATATCAAAATTTTAACACATACCCATTGCATAAGCCAAAGTTTCTGCAGCCTTCATAGCTAGTAAGTGGAAACCACCACTGTATGTGTCATAGGGGTATTTTGCCAAACCGAGTACATCATATGTGTCCACCATGTGAATTGGAATGCCCTCAGCAGTGCTGACAGACATGTGCCACTGAGCAGCTTGCTTTGAGGCATTATACAAGTCCTTAACAACCTGTTGTGAGTACGGGTCATCATGCCAGGTGAGGAGCTCCAGCAGATATACAATGAACATGGAGGATACATCAGACATTACTCGACCACAACCAGAATCAATCCTCTAAAATGATTGCACAGAATATCAAAGAAGCATGGTCATTATTAAATTTGTTCATAAGTTTTAGTACCTAGTTATACCAGTAGTACCCGCAGTATACCAACTATATGTACAGTATTTATAGCTGAACAAAATTAGTGTCTATTATCTTATTGGCATAACAATGATCTATATATTAGTCCTCACTGGTGACAAATCAGACATTCTTTGACATCCACAACGTAGCTGCTCTTGAATCATGCCATTTGACTTCTGGGTCTTTGCCCAGGCATACAATTTGCTGATAGTGCTGTTTGGAAAGATAGAGATGTAGGGAATATGACGTTCTCCATCATTGTGGACAGAATCTGAAAGTAGTTAGGATTGTACTGAATAAGTAAGCAAGTATCAATTCACATGAGTACCTAAATTCACACAGTCATATGCTTCCCACTGCCTCCATCTGCCATCATTCAACCAAAAAGCAGATCTGCACATATGTATATACAATTGTGCATATTGACATTAATGATTAAAAGAATGATAAATGGAATAGTATATTATGCATTCAGCTTACCTCACATGAGAGAGGCTGTTGATGAGCATTCTGGAGTG